CTGCGGTGCTGTGTGCGGTGCCGGGAACCAAAATCTACACCGACTAAACTTTTTCATTTCATGAGTGGTAAACACTTATTTTTACCAACATTCTATTTTTTTATTACATACCCCTTCCCTTTTTGTTCCTTTTTCTTATGTCTGTTGGTATCGATCTAGGCGCCATTACCTCCTCTGTTGGTTTCTGGGAGAACGGTCGCATTCACGTCAACTCTATTCCCTCCCATGTCACATTTACCGATACGCAATGCCTGGTTGGTAGCGAAGCTGCTGAAAACCTCCGAAACTCCATATTCGACTTTAAACGCCTCCTCGGCTGCAAGTTCAGGGACTACACGGTCCAGTCCAATATTGGGCATTGGCCGTTCGATGTAGTCGGCAGTAAACTCAGTGGGAAACCGCTTATCCAAATCGATGGCCGGCAGTTTACTCCCGTAGAGATCGCGTCTATGGTCTTGGAAAAGTTACGCGAAAATTCCGGGGTTTCGGATAGCAAAGCTGTCGTCACTGTACCATTCCATTTTAACCGCTCCCAACGCAACGCCGTCAAGAAAGCAGCCACCGCTGCTGGTTTTAAAGTGCTAAGGGTTATTGACGACCCCACAGCTGCCGCTATTGCCTATGGCTTGGAGAAGGGCAACGGGAAAATTATCGTCATCGATGTGGGCGCCACAGCATCTCTGGTCTCTCTTCTCACTGTCAACAAAGGCAAAGTAAAGGTCGTGGCCACCCGTGGTAACCACGTCCTCGGTGGCAGGGAATTTGACCAATGTCTTGTTGACTATTGCGTCAAGGAGCACTTGTCTCAAACCAACATCTACGGAGACAGGGTCGCTATGTACCGACTCGCGGCTGCTTGTGAGCAAGCAAAATGCGAGTTGTCGGTCTCCGAGCAGTTAACCATCGAGTCCTTGGGTATTGGCCTTTACGTCCCAATAACGCGTACGCAATTCGAGACCCTGTGCCATGGGCTGGTTCATTTGATCCTTGGGCTTGTCAAGAGTGTTCTGAGCACATCTAATACTGACAAGAGCCAGATCTCGGCGATTGTCATGACTGGTGGTTCGTCATGTATTCCCATCGTTCAGGCGACTGTATCCGAGTACTTTAATGGCAAGGAGCTCAGCAATTCTATCGACCCCAATATCGTTGTTGCACATGGCGCAACCATTCTGGCTGGAAACCTTGGGTAGATTAGTTCTACTGTTGTTATAGAGACAAATGTATATTACTAGTAGCCGTGAAACTAGGAGACTGTTCTGGCAAGTAAAAAAAAATCGCCAAGGCAATTCTTTAAAGAAACGCAAAACAATAGCTATAAGATGCACACATAAATATCGTTTTCAGAATTATGTCTTTGACCTGGCTCAAAACTACATGCGGTTCCATATTTCAGTGGCTAGAATATTCCCTTTACACGGGAAAGGTCGCCGGTTCGATCCCGGCTGGAGCCAAAAATTGTTTTCTTGATCTTACAACGAGCTTTTTTTATTGCCAATACAGTGTAGTACTTGAGTAAATGTTTTTATACCAGTCATTACTAATTCTTCAATCATCTATGACATCACCAGCCTAAGCGCAAGTCTTCTTAGTGTTTAAAGTATAAGGGCATCTTTGAGGTATGTCAACGACTGCAACAGGACAAAGGGTGGTTTATTTTTGGCATCAAAACGAATATAAAACATGGAGGGATGTCCT